TCGTACCGCACAAGACAAAACTTTGGACAACGAACGATTTTGTTCGTGATTGTGGAGAAGAAAAAAAGAGAAGCACGACTAAATGGGTGTCGTGGAGAAATCAGGCTCTCTAAAAAAAAACGAAATGGAAGAGACCACCATTAAAAAATTTTTTTGCCTGTTGGGCAATTTTTTATCGATTTCTAAAGATTTTGGGTTAACAACTGTTATGTCCATTTAAAAACACATAGATCTAGCTGTGTGGATATTACTAAAAATATTGATTTTTAAAAAGAAGTAAATTTGCAGCTTCCATTGACACTCAAGCTTTGGAAATCACCAAACTTGGACAGCTATTTTCTCGCTCATTTTTACCTCTGACACTAAGCGATCCCCACCTCCTTCAGTTGCAAATAATTATATCGACTCTATTTAGGATCGATGGGTATTTTCCCCCCATCAAAATCGAGGCAAACTAAGAAGCCTTAAGGTGATACTACTTATTCCTTATGTCTCTAAAAAAAAAAAAATGACCAGAGCCTGATTTCACCGCGTCGTGACACAAATAGTCGTGTCGTGTCGTGACTTGCTGTGTTGTGTTATGTTGTGTTGTTCTGGTGCGGTAGGCTTATCTTATTTCCATTGTCCACAATTTACGGACAAAACCCTGGGTCATCTGTTAGGTCGTTGTGCAGTATTGTAATGCGGTCAAAAATTCGTGGCTCAACTTATTCTCATATATCTTTTTAACGGGTAAATCAATGTCACTCATACTTTGCATAACAGTTTGTATCAATTTGTCTTAACTTAATCATATTTTCCCACAACAATTGAGGCTAGATTAAAAACCTTTTCTTCATCAATTTATATAAAATACATTGTACTTCAAATGTCCTTCACTCGGAAAATAGAATTATTGGTCTCAGCACTTCCCGCTTCCAATATATCTTTGGCATACGCATATGGCCAACGTCACAGCTCACCAATGACACTTTTTAGTGGCAAAACTAAAGACAAAAAAATTAATTTTATAGTCAACATATTTTTGCACTAAAAGTTTGTAAAACATGCGTTCAATAAACATAACCTCGCAGTTAGAAAAAAAATTGACGGACTTACTTTTAAAAGCGAAATAGACCACATGTAAACCTTTAAAAACCTGTAGAAACCACCCACTAAATTATTTTGTTAAAGCTTTATTCTATTAAGGATTTTCTAGAATAAACCTAACAAGTGTTTACATTAATATTGATCTGTTAAGACATATTGATACAAGTCACTGTGTAAAAGCTGGAGCTGTTTCGTTCTTCTTCTTCTCGATCTCATCACACTTGAAGTCTGGTATCTGCCATAAATTGTATGTTTCCTAATTGAGGTGATATTTGACAATACGAGGCGCCACGAATTTTTGACCGTGCTATCGGCTTGCCCTTCTTTGCTTTCAACACATGACCAAATGCTCCTCCTTTTAAAAATGGAGACATGGTATAGGTTTAACGCCCCTGTCAGCACTGTTATATTATTTAAGAGGCAGGACCTCCGAGTTTAACGTCCATCTCCAAAAGTACTGAGCCAAGCGGGACATTCATGTAAAGTGCTTTTCACAAGGATACAACGTCGGACCGAGCTGGGGCTCGAACCCCTGAAACCACAATCTCCTGATTACAGGTCTGGTAGCCTAACCACTTAGCCACCAACGCCACTGGAAAGGTCTTTGCCGTGTCCAATGGAACGTTTAACTCAAATAAACAGACGAAACGTGATCCGTTTCTCGTCCAAGAACTGTGTTCTTACTCACGTAAGACAATACATTTCTCCGCCCCCATTTTGTTTCCGCGACTTACATTTATGACATAGACTAGATGTTAGGCGATTTGACTTAGACGTCGCAGTCAGAAGACACGAGTACGCTTCCACTTCCAGCATAGAAAAATGTTTTAATCGAGTATCTGGATATTTACACAAGAAATCTTGTGTCTCTCTCAGCATGGCTTGGTACCGATAGACAGCGCCGAAGCTTGCCTCTAGCTTAACATTATTATTGTTTAAATTACTGTTTATTTATATTATGCATGTACGTAAATGCAAGCATACTATTATTATTATTATCATTAGTGTTATGTGTACAGATGTGAGTGGAAGAGAGGATGTGTGAGGGAAGAGTGCATGTGTGTGTATATGGGTGTGCACGTGCGTATGCGTGTGTGCGCATGTTGGTGTGTGTGTGTGTGCGTGTGTGAGCATATATATATATATATATATGTGTGTGTGTGTGTGTGTGTG